CTGAGCTTTGTGCTGCAGCTCTGACTTTGTGGAGGATTAATCCTCTTCGTATGCAGGTCTTAAGAATGTGTATTTTTGTCTATGACCTGGTAAGAGCAGCATCAACACACTGAGGAATTCAGCTCCATAACAGGAAGCTCATGTGGGACACAGGAAGGGTGATGGAATTTCGCTCCCTCCCTTGCTAAAAAAGTGTTCAACCCAAAAAATATTATGCAGATTCCAGCTTTTGTGTGAGAGACCTAGCAGTGCTTGGGAAGATGGGCTGTGTTCTAGTCTTTGTGTAAGAGAAAATAGTAAGGTGTTTTAATTGCACTCAGCAGTGCAATGGGTAATTAAGCTCCAATTGATGCACTTGTCGAGTGCATATGTAAATGAGGGGGGAAGTGGTATCAGCAGGTTTGGTTTTATCAACTGCTCCCTTATATGTGTCTGAAACTCCCAGCTCAGAGGAAGCTGTTTCTGTCAGCCTGTGGGAGCAGTGGTGCTGCTGAGGGGTGAGCACAGCCTTGGGTGGGTTTTGGGGGTGGTTCCCTTTGGCTCCCAAATGTCTGACCTGCGTGGTGGGTAATGGCTTTTGGCAACATCTGAAAACCCTGTTCCCTGGATTTCCTGGCACTTCAGGAATCTGTTGCAGCTCCGTGTGGATGATCCAGATGTGGCAAGTTCCCTACACCACCCAATTACCACAATTGCATCATCTCTGCACAGGACTGGCTCCCTGCTGGCGGTGGAGACAGCTCCCCCAGGCCCCTGGCTGTGTCCCCGAGGGGTGTCCCTCAGCACAGCTGTGGGAAGGTTGCAGAGCTGCTCTGCCCTGGAGATGCAGGACAACAGACTCCTCTGGACGTTCCCATCCCAGCTCACAGCTCCATCTACAACCTCTCAGCTCGAGGTTGACGCTCAGTGGCCAACAGGGGTTTTTCTTCCCGGCACTGCTCTAACTTTTCCAGGGATCAAGAGCTCCCTTGGCTCTTGCTTTTAGCCGACTTTGCCCTGCTGTGATTTTATCTGCCTCTGCTGCAGCGTGTAAAGGCTGCAATGCATAATTCCCTCGGTGATTGGAGTTTGTTCCACTAGCTCTCCTGACAGGGGCTGCTCACTCTGTGTGTCTGTGGGGCCTTTTTCTGCAGGGGAGTGTTAGACTCAGTGTATGGATGGAAATACATTGCTTGTAGTGTATTAAACAAAATAGAAGAAAATGTGGCACAGGGAACAATGCCACCAAAACCTAAGGGGGTGTCCTGGTTCCAGCAGAGGCAAAAGCCCCCCATGGTGACTGGCCTGCAGGGTCCCTGCCATGGGCTACCTCAGGCTATTTCAAGCACCTAAAAGGGTGGGTTTTTGGCAAGGCTGCCCTGGAGATGGAGGAAATGAAACAGCTCTGCCCTGCCTGGTCTCTTGGGGGACCCTTCTGCTGTTCAGGGTCGAAGAACAGCTGGTGCTGATTGGTACCACAACGGTGCACTGTTGGCAGTCAAGCCCCTGATCACATCCCCCAGATGATCCATGGACTGGAGAGCCCAGGAGGGATCAGCAAGACCTGCTCACCCTCCAACAGTCCCACAGTCTAATGGAGAACAGGGACTAACAGCAGGTTACTGTGACACGAATGAAGTCACACTGAGTGCCCTGTACTGGGCATGCTGAACTTCCCCAGCAGCTGCAGCCAGAGCAGCCCTGTGCTGTGCCACAGCTGATGGGGCTGATGCATTTTCCTCAGTCCCTCTGGTGGCAGAGTGCAGGCCACACTTGGCTTTCACTTGGAGGGCTGTCAGTCCACCTGGATGTGACTGCCCCGGGGCTGGAAACAGCTCTGCCCTCTACCATGGCCTGAGCCAGACCCCAGTGGAACAAAGTGAAGCTCTGCAGCACCCCCAGTGCACTGGTGAGATCGTGGTGTGGGGCAGCACAGCAGAAGCTGGGCTGGGGACACTCTGAGGGTTCAGCTGCTGCTCAGTCGTGGTCACTCCAAACCAGGGACTTCTCAGGGTTTCGTGCTCTGCCACTGAGGAGCTGCCCAAGGAGCTGGCAGGGAGCAGAGCTGGCACAGCTGACCTGAGCTGGACACAGGGATGTTCCACACCACAGGATGTCGTGCCCAGTATGTAAACTGGGGTTGTTGGCTGGGAGCTGCTGATCCCCACTGGGGGACAGGCTGGGAATCAATCAGCTGCTGGTGAGTGTTTGTACTGGGCATCACTTGTTTCTCTTGGGTCTCCTGTCTCTCTGTCCCTCTCTCCCTCCTTTTCATTAATATTGTCATTGCTGTTTTTATCATTAGCATTATTATCGGTGTTATATTTTATTTTCTTTCAGTTATGAAATTCTTATCTCAACCCACGAGTTTTATAGTGTTTTTCCCCAATTTTTCTCCTCACAGGAGAGTGGGAGTGATGGAGGGGCTGTGTGTGCTCAGCTGGGAGCAGGGGTGGGTGATGGAGGGGGATATTTTAAGCCTAAAGCTTCCCAGGAGCAGGGGGTGCACCCAACAGTCCCCTTGGGCTGGTGCTGTGGGAAATAGGGCTGTGTAATAAGGCTGTGAATGTCTCTGCTCAGCATTTCATGCATGTTGCTCTTGTTTGCCTTCAACCACTTCCAAGCACTTTGCCGTGTTCCAGCATCCTTGCAGCACCTCTGCAAGTGTGGGATTTTCTTTCTGCTTCATTCCCTTACAGCCAGCCAAAATTCAGCCCAGCCTACCCCAAGGGCATCTGGAATTACTGGTGTCTTTCTCTCCAGTTGAACCAGATCAGCCTGGTTCCCACTGATCCTGAGTTTGGAGCAAAAGGCTGAGGAAATCATTAGGGGCTTGAGATTTTCTGAACATGGTGTGGCTGAGCCTGACCTCCCTGCTTAAATTAAAGAACACAATTAAAAGTGTTTTCTGAGAACCTGAACTTAAAACTCTGCGTGATCTAATGACCAAAGCACAGCCTGGGTGTCTGTTCTCAGTCCCCTGTGACTCACAGGAATGCAAACCCAGCATTCTCCTTAGGAGGCTGATTGATTTGCTCAGGTATTTGGCCAGTGGTAATTAAAGGGACAAGCACTGGTGCCCAGCAGGAGGGAGCAGAGCTGCACAGAAGGCAAGATTTGGGTTTGCTGCCTCCATTTCACATAATCCTACAGGATTTAAAGATAAATCCTACTGTGTTGAACTGCAGTGTCTGACTTGCCCCTATCAAAGTGCTGTGAACATGAAGAATGTGACCATTTATCCATGAGGCAAAGCCTCCATCACTGATCCTGGTCCTCCTTGGAGGCTTTCCTTGGAAGAGGTTTAATTCCACTGACGTGTGCTCCAGACTGGAGTGATAACTGGTAAACTTTCCCTCTCCAGCCAGTGATTTGTTGTCCAACAATCCTCCTAATTGTGTTTACAGCTCTCCTTTGACTGTGTTGTTTGCTGCCTTTAGTTCCACACTTTGGATTCTACAGGACAAAAGGCAGGAGGTGCAGCTGTGGCTTTCTGAAATCCCAAACCATTGCCCATCAGGAGATGGGAGATGGCTCTGTGGACATCTGCCATGCACTGCTCTCTGCCACTGAGTGTCACCTGCTGCACTACAGCAATTTTCTGCACTGCTGAGGCTGTTCTGGCTGATTTTGTTGTTCAGGATTGCCTCCCCAGTCCTGTGGAGTGGATCTGTCCATAGTGGGGTGAGCTGGCAGGCCCCAGCTCTGGGCTGGGCTAACAAGGCAGAAACAGCTCCACTTGATAACAGGCAATAAGACCTGAAGCATCATGTTTATCTGAAGCCTTGTCTTGACTCTTTCTTCAGATGGATTCTGTTCCAGTTTTGCAGTAAACACCACAGGTGTAGTTTTGATGCTGCTGTGAAGTTGCTTTGGTTCAGGGGATGGCTCAAGGTCCCTTTTCCTTCACTCAGTGTTTGGCATTAAATGAACATACAACTACTAAGAGGTTTCTTTCCAGTCCCTCCTGGAAAGGGAGTTTGAGCAATGCCAAGGAGAAGGCAAAGTAGGGCATGACAAGAGCTGAGAGATGTTGTTATGGCACTGTACAGTGAATAAAAAGAAATTAAAGTCCCTCCTAAACTTGATTCTCTCCATTTTTGCCTCAGATTGCACAAAATGAGAACTTATGGTCTGTGAGGGAATTAAAACAACTTGAGTCACACCAAGAAAGGGGAAGATTGGCAGCAACAAACTCCTGCCTGTGTCTCTCCTCTACTGGGACTGCTGTGTGCTCATCCAGGTAATTCAGATGCTTTTCCCCAAGAGGTGCCTCAGGGAACTCTGCATCCTTTCAAGCCCCTACAGAATGAAGCCTGTGGGGCCAGTGAGAAGGGTGCCAAAAGCTGAGGGACTTCCTATGACTGGTGTTTGTGCTAGATAGATTGGTATTCACCTGGATAAGCCAGAGCATCCTGCCCTTTTTGGTAGAAGAGGAAATAATCTGGATTTTAACATCCTGAGCAGCAGGGACCCCGCCTTGCTGTACTTTAGGAACAGAACAGCTCTGTAACTCCCAGAAAGGGAAAGCTCCAGGAAAGGAGACTCCTCTTGGCCTATAAAGGCAAATTCATTGCTTTGTCCTTATTTCTTTCTGCCTTTTGATTTTTGATGTGAGGCATCTTTCCCTGCACAAGGAAAGGAAGGTGGTAGCTCTGCAAGCCTTGTTTGTAACGTACACACCCCAGGGCTTGCCCAGCACTCTGGGTGTGCCCTGTGTTGAGAACCCTGAAAAGAGCATTTGAAGGGCTCAAAAGGTGCGAAAGAGAGACAATCAAAATGTATTTCTGGAGGTGTTCATGAAAAACAAAGGGTGGAGAAAGGACAAACAAGTTAGAGTCAATCTGTGATTTAATTGAAAGGTCTGGTCACCAGCTGATCTGTTTTAGGATCTGATTCCTCAAGGAGGAATCTCTGGAAAGGGGAGATGCCAGGGAAGAAGGGCACTGAGGTTGGCTTTGGGCAGCAGCTCCAAAGCTGCAGCTGGAACATCCACACAAGGCTCAAGAACAGGATGATTTTCAGGCATAATTATTGTCGTGACAGTAGGTAAGGGCCAAGTACTGAAGGGCATCAAGCCTAATGCATGATCTGAGGCTGAGTGGTGGTCCTTGAAAAACAAGAAAATTAAAAAAAAAAAATTACCCTGAGATTCTGGCTTAGATGCTGTTGAGTGATCTGTGCATTTGTAGACAGCCCTTGGTACCTGGCAGATTGCACCTGCCTTTGGAGTCCCACTGAGCCCCCTCAGGTGCCAAAGCAATGCCCAGAGCAAAGCAAGCAGGGAGTAGAGGGAAATGCTGCCGTGCTGAGCCCCAGCTGTAAAGCAGCTTTCCATGACAGGGCTGGAGACAATCAGCTTGCAGGAAGGCTCAGAACACTTTGATGGAGCTTCAGGATTAGCTCCTCAGTTTTACACTCATTTCCCTTGGATATATTTAAAACAAATGTCCTTTTTCCCATCAATAGAAAATTCTATTGCAAGTGATCAAAACACAATTAAGGCACCCACAGCTGATTTCTACCAATCTCCACACCCACAGCTGCCCCTCCTGGTTTCTGTCCATCTCGAGTTGGAAGAGGAGCAATTTGTGCAGCAGTCACTGCCCAAGGGAAAACCCACCAGGTGAGTAACACTCAGAATTCACTCGTTGGTACTCACCATGAACTTCATAGGCCACGTAAGTTGTGAGTCCTCTGCACATGGAGAAGGTGTCTGGTCCATAAGACTCGAGGTCCCGGACATTCCTCTTGATGAGGGTGAATAGAATCTCCTTTGCAGGTGGTCTTGGACGGTTCTGTTTCTAAACACCAAATGACGGCACTCAGCAAGATCCGTGCTGTGATCGGCTCCATGCCAGGCATAACCCGAGTTTTAATTGTTATAAAAGTCATAAAAATAATCTAAGTGATCTACAACATCAGCAAAACATGAAAACCCTCCACTGGAAGCATCTGTAAAGGGTATTCTAATTGTTCAAAGGTTTCAAGGTAGAGATTGATGCAAAATGCCATTGAAATCAATAAAAGTGCCTAATCAGTGGTGTGATGAACACGGCTTTTGCAGTACCTGTTGGCTTGGAAGCTTTTGAAAATAGCCTAGGACATCAGTTTACTTTGCATTACCTACAACTTTTCAAGCAACTCCTCTTTTCAGTCTTACCCTGCTCTCTGCAGCCAGCTGGGGAAGTGCATCAAAGCTGGGCATCTCGGTCCTGTTCATGATGGAAATGTAGCAGGCTTTCTCTGGCAGCACCTTGGTTGCCATAAAGCCCTGTAAAACAAAGTTATTGACCACTCATCGAACTCATTCTGTCAATCATCAGTGTGGGAATCAAGTCCATATTAAAAAGGTAACACATCAGTTTTTACTCAGTGTACGAGCCAGTGGCCTCGTAGAGTCTCCAAAAGCACCTTCCCCACCACTCACCGTGTCGTAGTTCCAGAGGGTTTTCCATGACCCATGGTGGGTCCTTTGCTCAACACTTGCCACCAGCCAATATCTATTCATGGTCATAATTTGGTAGCCTCCAGCTGTGGATATTTTCTTGCTTACTTCCACCTTCTGAGCCTAGAAAACCAAATGAAAGTGCACTTGGACTGACTTTCGAGTGATTGAGTTGTCTCCCCAAAGCTTTAGGAAAATGAAAGAATGAAGGACATCTCCCAAAGCAGGGGATATGGAAACAGCAGCTGTGCCTGTGGGAATTGGTCACTGTACTCACATATTCACCAAGGGCTGGAGTCAGGACGAGTCCAAGAAGGACTGCAGTCAAAATCTGAAAGGAAAATCAAAAAAGTACAAAAGTGTAACTGCAGGTCTGGCTGATGAATCCAGTCATGAGAATCTCTGTGCCCTTTTCCTAATCTGCTGTTGAAGTGTCCTCCTTGGATCCTCTTTTGCTTCCATCCTGGCATTGCAACAGTGCCCTAAAGGAGTCACCGAGTGCTGCAAACTGGACAGGTTTCCCAGTCGCTGTTTCAAGAGCTGAACCTCAAGCTGCTTCTGAGACCTGTGCAGGCACACACAGGTATTTTACAAGAGTGAGGAGAAAGCTTTTCCATTTCTTGTGCTCTACCATTACAGGGGAGTGGTTGATCCATCAATGCAGTGCTCCAGCTTTGCAAAGGCATTGGTAAAAATGGCCATGGCTTAGGTTTTGTGTATTCTGCTTAATGGAGAGCCCAGCTGTGGGGAAAATCCTTGCCTCATCAGCTGGTTCAGCTAATGACAGCTGAGCTGCTCACTCTGGAGGAGCAAAATGTCCCCAGAGAAACCTCTGGGCAGGCAGCGGCACTTCGGAGAGAAAGGCAATGGGACTGAATCAAAGGTTTAGTTTATAAGGAAGAAAAGCTTGTGTACTCACAGGGAGCTTCATCCTGACTGCAGAGCTGATGCTCCCTCAGGTAGAGAGAGCGATGTGAACCTCCCACCTTATATATGTTTTCAGAATTAGGTGTGGAAGGGCTGAATGTGGCAATAAAATTATTTTGTCATTTGTTTCCCTGTTGCATGTCACTGAAAATTATTTCCTGCTGTAACTGCTTGATAAATACAGGGATTGTACTTCTACAAAATTTGACCTGCTGGAGTCTGATAATTATCAGATAAGAATCCATTTGTAGTCCAAAAATGAAAAACATTTTAAAATATTTTTCTGACATATACTAATTATTTCTAAAAATTCACATCAAATTTAAGACCAGAGATAGCCTAGAGTTTAAATAGAAAAAAAATTGAAATCTTCCATTAGGCAAAATAAATAAGAGCCTTATTAGTTTCCAAAAGGCACTGTATGTTCCTTGTAACCATAGCACCCACCTAAATATGCTCCCCAAATACAACACAGTCACTGAAAAGTGTTTTACAGGAAATAGGCATTTCAGGCTGGAATATTTCATATATATGTTCAAGTCTGTGCCGGTCTCTTAGTTATTTTAGGTGGCAACAGTATTTATTTTCAGCTTGCCTCAGATTATTTTCTGTGGTGATGTAAATATTGAGGGGGTGGTCACTCAGGGAGGGAGATTTGTGGATAAGTTGCTCAGTTGTGTTCTGTGAGCAGCCCCAGTCTGTGACAGGGAATCACTGTTAACGTTCCAAAATGGCTTTTCAACTGCAATCCAGCCACTTATTTAAAAAAAGGCTGGTTTTAATACATATACAGACAAATAACTTGTAAGCATTGCTGCATGTGCAGTATTAAACTAAATTCTGGCCTTGGTTTTACTGAGTAAAGTCTGCAAGTCCAAAGGGACATTTCTGGTCGGTGCCACTACACCAAAGGGAGGGGTCATTCCTGGTTCTTTGTGAGCAGCAGCATTTGTGTGGATTTCTCTGACAAAATGTGGGTTTCTGCATGGGCTCTGGGGTGGATTGTGCTCTCCCTCACCCACTGCTGGCCCTACTGGAGAGAGGAACTGGGCAGGACCTGTGGGAGCTGCGTGTTGTATATGCCTAAGGGTACCTAAAAAATGCAGACTTGTGTCAGCAGCCAGAGCCCAAACCTTCCTGAAAAAGCACTGACCAAAGTATGGAAAGTCATAGAAAACAACCTTCACCTGGAGGTGAGCAAGCAATTGGTAATCTGGCTAACCTGCCTTTGTTTTGGAACACAAAGGCTGTCAGGAGCAGACTCACCAGGAGCTGGGTGAGCCAGGTAAGAGGGGATTCCTCTGCACAGACCTTGGATGAGTTTTCCATGCCGGGTCAAGCTCTGGAGTGTGTTCCTCGAGATAATGAAGTGATTGTCTCTGGGTGGGATTTGATAAGACCCAGGTTCCCTGAGCATCAAAGGAACAAACCCAGAAAGCAGCATTTAGGAAAACCAAGAAGGAGCTCAGAGCCTCTACACACACCTTTGGTACCGGGGAAGGAGTTATTCATGGGCAGGGCAACTTCTTGAAAGACCTTTGAGAGCGACTCAGCCCTGCTGAGAGAATTCTCTTCAGTTCTTGGAGCCCTTTCTCAATCAAAGGCTTTTGTACCACTTTCCTCCCCCATCCTACCCTGTCTCCTTGAGGTGGTGCAGGGAACCATCTGTCAAGCCAAGCCCTCTAACACACTGTAACAATGATGCAGGTGCTCTAAAATCCACCTTGGTTGCAACGTAGACCTCGGAAAAAAAAAAAAAGGCAAACCAGTTTTTGATTGCAAACAATATTCAACAATATTCAACGAATGAAAGAGAACTGGATTGCCAAAGAGAAGCACTGGTTAAGAAAACAGGCTTTATGCAGAGCAAATAATCATGGACAAGGAAATACTGGTCCTTTCAGTTATGTTATTTAGGTAAATGTGTCATTGGGGCTCATGAGGGACTTTGGTGAAAGGTAAATTGCCTCCTCCAGTAATGCCACGTGTGTGATGTGTTCTCCTGCTCAAATTTTATGACCCCAGTGTCAGGGTGGTTTGAGGTTTCATTGTGGTGCTCCTTGAAGTTTTTTCAAGGTTCTGATTTTTGGAAACGATTAAAGGAGGTAAGGATGTGCCTTTGGGGATTCCCAGGAGTGTTTCACTCAATAAAGCAATAGCTCTAGTAGCCGTGTTTTGGGAAACTGTTGCTCTTGGAGACCAGCTTAAAGGGGAGAGAATTCCTGGCCTCAGAGGGAGGCTGGGAAGCTGTTAATGCTGTTGTGTCAGACCTTACAATCCTTCATCCCCACCTGGTTTTCATGACCTTGCCAAGAGCTCTTGCATGGCGAAGGTGGCAGTGACACTGATTGTATCAGGGACATCAGCAGCCTGACCAAGGCAGGGAACAAGGGATAATCACTTATCCCCTGACAGCCTTGGAACATGATTTGCTTGAATCGTAGCCCGAGTGGAACGGCACCATTGTAACCACCTTGGGCTGTGGCCAGGGTGGAAATCTACTGGTGGCTAAATCACAGTCATGACAATCACGTCTCAGCCCTATAAACTGCAGTCCTGAGGCAGGCCCTGGAGCTGTCCTGGACTGCAGTGGGGTCCACAAGCATCTCCCTCAGAGTGGGAGCCTCCTGGAGCCTCAAGTTTGCAATGTTCAGAGGACTGGGCTGACAATCCCCCACTCCTCGAGGCTCAACCCTCACCTGTGGAGAAATGCAAAGGCATTTGACCTGTTCCACTGAACCCCAGGGGAATTTTTAACAGGTGCTTTTGCACACACAGGTATTGATGTAGACAGCTCTGTGTGTGCATGTGCAGTGATCAGGGTATGAATGTTGCTATCTGGAATCTGTAATTCAGTCATTGTTGTAATTGTAATAAACCCTATCAAGTCACCTTGTAAATGATGAATTAGTCAATGATTAAATACTCTTAAACCCTTTGCACCCTCGCCCTCTGCACCCCTGGATTCTGTGTATGCCGTTCTAAAGAAGTTCTGATTTGATTTTCCTTTGCATGATTCATCTGTGCAGTGAGCAACAGATGGAACCTAGACAATGAACTCTGTTAACTTGCAATTCCACAAATTCATGTTAAAACCTGCTTTTGCCAGCACCTTCTATGGTGATTCTTTAAGCAACCAAAACCCCTCATTCGCAACCCTTGTCAGCAAGAGCTGGAGCCAGGAAAACTCCAAGGAGAGAAGCAATCACAATCTTAAATGAACATTTTGAAATTCACAGCATTTTAATATTGTGCTGTTTATCTTTCATCAAGTTACTTGCTGTCCTAAAATAGTTTTGACTTCCTGTTTAGCGTTGTGTAAAGGATCAGCACTTTACTGCAGTGGGGTCTGGCTGAAGAGCATTTAAATATGCAGGAGATTGTTATAATGATAAATTCTTTTGTGATAACTATTGTGAACAATTATTCTCTTGAAGAAAATCCCCTGAATATTGAATTGCTCCCAAATTTCATTTCCTTCACAGGAGGATTTTGACGAAAGAGATCTGAGTGTACGTGGGGTCTCTCATGCCTCATGGCCCTTCTCCTGCACTCTCAGCACAGCTGTGCCCTCACTTTCTGGACCTTGCTGAGACTGTTGACTTGCCTCTGATCTGTGAAGGAGAGAATATTGTCCTTTGGGAATCCCACGTGTGTGTGTCACCCCTGAGACAGAGCACTTCCCTCTTTCATTTTTAAGTAGGCAGATGGAGTGACATCCCTGCCAGAAGGGACATTTCACCCCTGCAGTCCCCACCCCTCTGGCATTTTCTCTCTGCACAAATCACTACAAGTTCACTTGGTGCCAAGAAAGACTCAAACCCATTTAAACTGTCCAGCCTTAAGAGTTCCATGAGAAAGTGATTCGTCTACTTACAGTGAACTTCATTTTGATGGTAGGCCAGGCAAGCTCTGCTGCTAATTGATGTGTACTCTTAGTTTTTATACATAATACCCCAAAGTTGAATGTGAAAATGGGTTTGCCTTACTGGCAGGTGCCCTGTGTTCACAGAATCATGACGGGTTTCCTGGGGAAGTGCTCTGATAAGAGGAGGCTTTGATAGCAGCCTGATTGAATTCATTGCGTACAGGGAGATGAAAGAAAACTGGTCCTGGTAAGTCCAAGGTATTTAACAGTGACTTTTAAATAATCATCAGCACCACAGAACAGATTCCCAGTGAACTTGTAATGACACTTTGTGCCTACATGGCAAAGGACTCGGCCTGACGTCGTACCTATAACCAAAACCACATTCAAATCACTGCAGGTGATCATTGAGCTGGTTCTAAATCACAGAAATTCCTGAGTTCTGTTGTTGACCTTCCTTTCTGAGCTCATTCAGTCAGGACAGGCCCCTGTATCTTCACAGAGCCTGATTATGGACCAAGGGCTGATTTGAGAAGGGGACCATATACTGGAGGTAACAAAGGTGTAAGGCAGGAGCAGTGACATCAGGCATTTTATGTCAACTGTTATTTGGGAAGTAGGTTTTAATCTTTCTCTGCATTTGATAATGCTGTACAGAGCCACGGCCCAGGAGCTTCTGGTAATTTGGGTTTGTTTCTTCACTGTGCCTGTTCCAGAGGCAGCACTGCCAGAGGAGCTCATTTCTTGACCCCCAGAGTGCTCTGTATTCGACTGTCAGTCCCTGTGTCACTCTAAACTGATGTCTCTGAGCACAGCTCTCCCCTGCCATCCATTCCTCAGGGTCATTGTTGCAGTTGTCACTGGAAAAGCCAGGGAATCTTACTTTCTTTGAGAAGAGAAGGCTCAACTCTCACTTCTGCTGGTGAGGGCCACCCTCTGTCCTTCTGCTCCTGCCTGATGCCTAGCTTGGACTCCCTGAGTGCCGAGGAGGTGCCAAAAGCTGAGGGACTTCCTATGACTGGTGTTTGTGCTAGATAGATTTGTATTCACCTGGATAAGCCAGAACGTCCTGCCCTTTTTGGTAGAAGAGGAAATAATCTGGATTTTAACATCCTGAGCAGCAGGGACCCCGCCTTGCTGTACCTTAGGAACAGAACAGCTCTGTAACTCCCAGAAAGGGAAAGCTCCAGGAAAGGAGACTCCTCTTGGCCTATAAAGGCAAATTCATTGCTTTGTCCTTATTTCTTTCTGCCTTTTGATTTTTGATGTGAGGCATCTTTCCCTGCATTAGGGAAAGGAAGGTGGTAGCTCTGCAAGCCTTGTTTGTAAGGTACACACCCCGGGGCTTGCCCAGCTCTCTGGGTGTGTGTCCCTGTGTTGAGAGCCCTGAAAAGAGCATTTGAAGGGCTCAAAAGGTGCGAAAGAGAGACAATCAAAATGTATTTCTGGGGGTGTTCATAAATAAAAAATGGCAAAGACAAACAAGTTGGAGTCAATATATAATGAAGGTCTTTAATTTAAAGTTCTGGTCAACCATTCATGTATTTCAGCATCTCCATCCTCAAGAAGGACTCTGGAAAGGGGAGATGTCAGGGAAGAAGGGCATGGGGGTTGGCTTTGGGCAGCAGCTCTGGAGCCCCCACACTCGGTTCAAGAAAGGTAAAGTTTTCAGGCCATTGCATTGCCATGACAATAATTCAGGTCCACAACTTTCAGGACGTCAAGTGTAGTACACGATCTGAGATTCAGTTGGGGTCCTTAACAAACAACAAAAGAAAAAACCAAAACCATGAGATGCTGGCTTAGATATTGTTGAGTGATCTGTGCATTTGTAGACAGCCTTTAATACCTGGCAGACTGCACTTGCCTTTTGAATCCCATTAAGCCCCTTCAGGTGCCAAAGCAATGCCCAAAGCAAAGCAAGCAGGGAGTAGAGGGAAATGCTGCCATGCTAGAGCTGAGCCTCAGCTGTAAAGCAGCTTTCCATGACAGGGTTGGAGACAATCAGCTTGCAAGAAGGCTCAGAATACTTTGATGGTGTTCAGGATTATCAGAGTAAAATTTAGTTCCCTTGGATACATTTAAAACAAATGGTTTTCCCCATTAATACAAAATTCTATTGCAAGTGATCAAAATGCAAGTAAGGCACCCACAGCAACTCAGCTTATTTATACCAGTCTAGAGCAGCTACAACAGTGGCTGCCATTCTACAGCGGTGTATTTTTGCTACTTGGTTTCTGTATGTGTCAAGTTGGAAGAGGACCCTTTGTGCAGTGGTCATAGGCCAAGGGAAAGAAAATGCTAGGCCAGTGGGAGAGAGAATTCATTTGCTTGCACTCACTCTGAACTTCATGGGTCATGTAGGTGGTGAGTCCGCTGCACATGGACACGATGTCTACTCCATAGGAGTTGAGGTTGTTGACCAATCCACTGGTGACAAAGGTGATCTTCTTTGTAGGTCTTCCAAGGCCGACCTGGTTCTGGACATCAAAGGACAGCATTCAGCAAGATGGGTGCCGGGACGCATTTCATGCCAGGCACGTGGCGAGTCGTGCAGTGACGAGCTGGTGCTTGGGGTGTGAGTGGCAGGTGCCTTTAGTGGTGCCTTTGCCACGGCACAGATCCCTCTCCCTCCCCAAAGGAAAAGGAACTGTGGACAATGGCAGGTGCAAGGCAAAGGTCTGAGCTGACAAAGGCGGGTTGGTATTGCAATGACTCTGAAGGCCTTGGAAGGACTGCCACGCCAAAAGCATTGGTGGCCTTGAAGGGCTGCTGAGAGAAAGGGTTTCTCAGCAAACCACAGAGCTCAGGTTGCTGAGAGAAAGCGCAGCTGACAGAGGGAAGGTGACCCCCCTCCTTCCTTGGGACAAAACATCCCTAGGGTAAATTCCCAAGCCGCACTGCAGTTGAGGGCAAGAGAGTCGTGCCACGAGTGGCAAGCTGGTCCTCTCCAACAGGAAAAAGCCCAGTTAAGAAATGTCCCCATGGACTGCAGCAAAAGACAGAGTTGGCAGGGATGGCTGGGATTGTTAAAGTGTTTCAAAATATGTGGAATATGATCGCAGTGCCCACTTCACTCTGCTTTCTTCTCACGGGCAAGCAAGGAGTTGAAAGCAGCTTCAGGGTACTCTGACATGAACCTTAAGACAAGCAAGCTTGGAATTACAGTTAAAGCTACATCTTTTTGCCTGTGCCTTTACTGTGGTCATTCTCCTGTTTTTCTTAGCCTCTCATGGTCTTCTTGTGCTTTAAAGCCTGGAATTTTTTAAGTACTCCCTTCTCAGTCTTCAAGGCAAGCCAGTGTCTACCAACAGTGAGTGTGCTAAACGCTGAGGTCATTTTTAAAATGCCAGTTCGGTGGGTTGAACTCATGCTAATATGGCATAAGGTTCTTTTGAAAAAGATTGAAAGCTTATTTAAACTTATTGAAACTCTCCATACTGCAAGATTTGTCATTCCTGAATTAGACGTGCAGGAAAAAA